CGAACGGTTCACAAGAATCTGTCCGATATAAAGAGATTCCGGTATATACACGTCCGGTATAAACAGGTTTGACTGTAGTAATATTGTCGGAGCATTACCTATTATATTCTGTGTAAATATTTATGTTTATGGGGTTAGTCACGTGTGTTTCAGAAATAACGACGATAATATATTACAGAGCGTGGGAGCGAACTGTACTTTTCAGTCTCGTGACTTCCAATTAATTGTGGCACAAAATAAATCATCACGCATTCTTTACGTACTTTTTCCCAAGAACGATTATTACTATTACTATTGTTATTGCTATTACTATTGCTATTGCTATAATAGCAGTCGGGTTTCTGCAAATCGTTTATCAGAAAGTTCAGCCACACTCCATATAATCATCGTGAGATTATCAGATGTTGAATCAACTCAGCACTTGTAGACACGTGTGTGAGGGGTATACAGTGAACTCTCCCTAAATGCACGCCCTTGGGACCAGAGCGTGCGTGCATTTAGGGAGAGTATATTAAATCACGTGATTCCGATATTTTATTTGTTTATTGGTTAAAATATTGATCTCTGCTATTAGCTTTTTCCCTAATATTTGTCACTTATGTATTTTCTTGTAGTAAAAATGCCTGTACAGTTTCCAAGCCTTGTAATGCCGTACTGGCACTGATGGCTGCTGTTCGAGTTCTGGGTATGTAACCGATCTGTGTCTTTTTGCATTTGGAGCAATGATTTCTTCTTCAAAAAGTAACTGGTTGCTTCTTTGCAAAATTCGTGTTATGGTAGACTCAACTTGCCATTTATTTTCGATCCAATTAACATACTCCGTACGAGATTTCTTATTATCGCGAGCATACAGGCGGCAAAGTTCGTATTTTTGCGAATCTGTTAAAGTTGTCTTACTTTTTGGCGGCATGATGAATTATTTTTATTAACTGAAATTTTAGTACAATCCTCTAACATTTAGTTATAAACGATTTTTATGACTATGACCACGATGGCATGCTTAAATAGTGCAATCGTAAATTATTACAGAATATGATATTAAGATGTTCTGTCTACTGTTGACTAAATAAATACATGGCCTGATGTTAGCAGACAATGTTACTACAGAACTGTATTCTCACATCTCGAATATAACTTGACATCAGAAAATAGTTCGCTTGCGTAAAGTGGAATGATTATAGCACGGATTCTCATATTCGATACATTTGATGATCCGATAATTTGTTATTGTAAGTCTTTAACTCGCCGAATTTCGACATTGACTGACTATACCGTATTTAGCTGCTGGGTCACGTACGTGCATTTACGGAGATTATTTTCATATAGGCGGGACCGCAAAATCTATTTTGCACGTGCAGAATATAGAGAGTGCCGATCAAATAGGGAGACTGTGCATTTAGGGAGAGTTTACTGTAATTGGAAATCTGTACAAGTATTTCATTAGGACCCAGTCTGGGATAATCAGGAATTAACCCGTTTCAAGATTGTCACATATTTTTTCGACGTTATCACATAAATCATGTAGTTTATTGGTGCAAAAGATTATTCTAGTGTGACAAGGGTCAAATCCTGGAATGGGGCACAACATATTAACATACATCGGGTACTATTTGCAAAGTTAACGTAGAATAATTATGTGAAGAAAGCGTTAAATGTTGGATTACGCGGATGTATAGTTAATCATTGGCGCTATCGTAGTTCTAGTGCTAATACCTACTTGTACATTTTTCAAAAAGAAAATTAAATGAAGTTGAGGAGAGAACCAATGATAACACTGTTATTGGCAGCATGAACAGCAAGGGCAACTCCGTTACTTTGAGAAGATCCAGTATCCGCTGCCTGAGCATTACCAGTAGCGTCAGTGCCTGTAGCGCCGCCAGACAACAACGGCTGCGTCTACAGTTTGTTTAAAGAGATCGTGCTTGAGGACGAGGAAACCACGAGGGAGGTGCCTTTGATACCCATCCGTTAAATATGTTGAGTACATCGTTGATTGTGGATTTGCCGGTAGTAAGGGACCAGCCATTTGTGTCAAAGTTTTCAGCCCAGGCCGCTAAAAGTGATAGATCGAATAAGTATGTGTGATAATCATATCGGTATTGGATACTACTTTTTAAACCAACCGCCTTTGTAATTGCGCGCAGTGTCACCAAATGGAGGACGCACGTATTTTGGAGTAAGATCTTGATAGCCTATTGACGACAAATCGATGAAATACTATGAGTATGCGAACATACATATGGAGTAGTCTGCAACTCGGTTAAAAGATATGTACCTTGAGTGTCCACTTTAACTCGGCGACAACCTGTTAGTTACTAAGAGAAGTGAGAGAGGGATGCAAAACTGCGACGTTATGGCCTATAGTCGATAAAAGATTAGAATAAGTCATTGTACAGTCCCCGGCGAAAAGAATGGCGGCTAGTATTATTTTAATATGTCAATTTTGTTCTTATTATTTTTTAAAAAAATTTTATTTAACAGAAGTTCAAGACTAATATTATAAC